TTGGTCAATCCCCAAGCAGGAGGGTTGGCATGGAGCCAGCCTTTAAGTATGACTGAGCCTGCTCAGCAACAGGAACGTTTGGGTGAAAGATGGAGTGAGAGGAAGAGATGCAGGAGCCTGGGAGGGGACCCAATGGGAAGGGGCCTACTTACAGGCTGGGTTTTGGACAAGAGGATCATTCAGCCTCACCAGTCCCTAAAGGGAGGACTACCTATGGAGCCAGGAAAGGAGCCATCCTAGCAGAAGGCCTGAAGGCAGCCACCAACCTAAACCAGCTCAAAGAAAAGAGAGTGAGTAATCCTACACTCCCTGGGCCAGCTAAGGGGAAAATAGCACTCTGGTGGGAAACCTGATTAGCTCCTTAGCTGGGATTATTCAACTTAAAGTAGCAGCCACTGGATCCCCTTGTCCAGGGATTCCTCCAGGCAGCTGGGTAAAGAAGAGGATTTATCTGGGGTCTGCAGTGTTACACCAGGAGTGGTATCTATTTGCAGTCTTCTCTCCTCTACATCATTTAAAAGTGCTGAATTTATACAGCTTGTAGTGTTGTCAAAAAAAGGGGTTGGAAAGCTGACCTGACATTCTGCAGAGCTCAGTTAGAAGAGCTCTGAGAGCTGATTGGAGGGAAGAGATCCCCCCCTTCACACAGCTCACAGAGCCGAGGTTTACAGTCTGCTGGAGGTTCCTCCCTTGTCCCCATTTTTCTCTTGGTGTCAGGAAAACTGAGGGATCTCCAGCACACAGCCTGTGATTGACAGCCTCAGCTCTGCTCCTGTGTGCTGTGTGAAGGGGGGTGTTTCCCTTACCTCCAATCAGCTCTCAGCACTCTCCTCACTGAGTGCAATGTCAGATCTCCACCCCCTGATTTTCAGAGCTGAGAGATCCTGTGTAAATTCTGCACTTTGAATGGATGTAGAGAAGAGGAGTCTTCAGATAAAACGGTACAACTTATGTAGGAGAATTTGTTTCACCGCTTTGCATCACTCGAGGTCAGTCACTTCACTGGGTATATATAAAGGTTTACAACCACTTTAATTAAAATTGCTTTATCTGGTCCCCTAGGCCTAAACAAGCATTTAACCCTTGCAGTGCAGGGGCAGCCCCAGCATTTTCACTTTCCCCGAAGTTCAGCTTTAACCCGCTGGTAGGTTTACGCTGTTCCAGCTGTCCACAAGCTGCGCACAGTGCTGGCTAATTTGTCTGGACTCGGTTAACATTGCAGCGCCCTGATGGCTCTCAGATCTGAATCTAATCAGAATCAATGACCAGGCACGACGTCCAAGCCTCTCCGGAACCACTAACGATTCGCCCTCCAGGCCCTTTCCTTTAAGAAACAAATCTCTTAATCTTTAGCGTGATGAAAGGCCTTTTGAATTGGCTGCAATCAGAGACTCGGTGATATGTCAATTACAGACCATGCAGAGGCCTCTTTCATGAATTCAGCAGTTCAGATAAAGATTGGGCGTCAGGGCACGCTCTATTGTGGGAGCGGCTGATAAATGGTGCAGCGGGATCTAGTCCTTACTCGGTAAATGCTAAGGCAAGCCATAGATTATGCAATTACCTTTCCTGCAATCACGGTTTGCAGGAAAGAAATCACTTGATTCCTCCACGGTCATTGATGGGGGAATCCCTCCCATGGAACACAATGATTACTGCTATGGGCTAGAGCCACTGGCAGTAATCGCTTGCTAAAAATACGACTGGCTGGTTGTACTCAAGTTATTATTGGATTATTGGATTGATTATTGGATCGACTTCAGTACAACCAGCCTGCCCGTAGATGGATCAAATCTTGGCCAGTCCCTGCTGAACTGACCAAGATTTGTTTCATCTATGGCCGGTAAGACTGGCCATAAAGGGAAAGACTGTCCTGACCGATCTGAGGAAGGTTAGACTAAACAAACGAGAAGGCAAAGGATCATAAAAGAGCATACAAATGTTATTCACAAATTGAAGGTATTCTCTAGAGAATATTTGGCTTTTCAATTGTATGTACAATGAGCCGTGGCCCATCATTGTGATCATGTCGTGCCCATCATTGTGATCGCTCACAATCATTCAAGGAGAACTATTGTGTATTTTCAGTGAGAGCATGTTCTGAGCTATTTTATGTTTGAGCTCTATATACAGTTGTGCTTACAAGTCTGCATACCCCTAGAGAACTGGTAATATACAGCATGTACCATTTTAAAGAAAACATAATTGAGCAGGAAAAACACATTTCTCTTATTTTCTTTGGGATTCATATTCAGCTGTAGGTTGTAACAGAATGGCCCAATCATAAAACAAAACATGGCAAGTAAATAAATGAAATGCCCCCCTGTTCAAAAGTCTGCATCCCATTAGTTCATAATTCTGTGTATTACCCCCTTTAGCATCGATGACAGCTTGTAGTCTTTTGTAATAGTTGTCTATGAGGCCCTGAATTCTTGCAGGCGGTATAGATGCCCATTTGTCTTGGCAAAATTCCTCCTGATCATGCAAAGTCTTTGGGTGTCTTGCATGAACTGCACATTTGAGATGTCTCCAGAGTGGCTCAATGATATTAAGGGCAAGGGACTGTGATGGCCACTCCAGAACCTTCATCTCTTAGGGTCACTGTTGTGCTGGAAAGTCCAAGAGCGTCCCATGCACAGCTTCATGCAGAAGAATTCAAATTGTCTGTCGGTATTTTAACTATATATATATATATATATATATATAAATATATATATATATATATAACTGTATATAACATGCTGCATTAATCTTGCCATCAATTTTCACAAGATTCCCCGTGCCTTTAGAGCTCACACATTAAACATCAGTGAGCTACCACCATGCTTCACGGTGGGGATGGTATTCTTGTCGCTATAGGCCTTGGTATTATACAGTATGTACCATTTTAAAGAAAACATAATTGAGCAGGTAAAACACATTTCTCTTATTTTCTATGGGATTCATATTCAGCTGTAGGTCATAACAGAATGGCCCAATCATAAAACAAAACATGGCAAGTAAACAAACGAAATGCCCCCTCTTTGAAAGTCTGCATCCCCTTAGTTCATAATTCTGTGTATTGCCCCCTTTAGCATCGATGACAGCCTACAGTCTTTTGTATAAGTTGTCTATTAGACCCTGACTTCTTGCCGGTGGTGTAGCTGCCCATCCATCTTGGCAAAATGCCTCCAGGTCATGCAAAGTCTTTGGGTGTCTTGCATGAACCACTCATTTGAGATGTATCCAGAGCCGCTCAATGATATTAAGGTCAAGGGACTGTGATGGCCACTGCAGAACCTTCATCTCTTTCTGCTGTAACCACTGGAGGGTCAACTTGGCCTTGTGCTTAGGCTAGCTGTCGTGCTGGAAAGTCCAAGAGCATCCCATGCGTAGCTTTCATGCAGAAGAATTCAAATTGTCTGCCAGTATTTTAAATATATATATATATAAAACTGTATATAACATGCTGCATTCATCATGCCATCTATTTTCAAAAGATTCCTTGTGCCTTTAGCGCTCACCTCCCCCCCCCCCAAAGCATCTGTGAGCCACCATCATGCTTCACGGTTGCGATGGTATTCTTGTCGCTATAGGCCTTGTTGACCCCTCTCCAAGCATAGCACTTATGATTATCAGATTATCACCTACTCTCCTCTCCTTTAGGCGCACCCTGAAAACCCATCTCTTCAGGGAAGCCTACCCCCTGCTAACTTGACCGACCTCCTCCACTCTTCCTACCACTCCATCCCCCACAGCTATCTCCTCCTGTACCACTATCCCGTCCCTTCTAGATTGTAAGCTCGAAAGAGCAGGACCCTCGATCCCCTCATGTTTTGCATTGTATTGGTATTGTTCTGTCACATGTTCTGTCCCCCTTTGTAATGTATAGCGCTGAGTGAACTATCGGCGCTTTATAAATACTGTATAATAATAATAATAATTGTAACTATAAAGCTTTACTTTGGTCCTGTCTCTCCATATTACAGTGTGCCATGAGCTGTGAGGTGTGTCAGGGTGTTGTCGGGCATATTGTAACTAGCTTTTTTGTGGCATTGGTGTAGTAAACACTTCTTTCTGGCAACTCAACCATGCAGCTCAATATTGTGGTGTTGTACTCCTTGAAACAATCACACCGATTTTCCCAGAGCAGCCTTTATTTCTCCTGAGGTTACCTGTGTTTTTTTCTTTCTATCCTGAACAATTCTTCTGGCAGTGGTGGCTGTAATCTTCTTTGGTCTACCTGACCTTGGCTTGGTATCAAGAGATCCCCATATTTTCCACTTCTTAGTAAGTGATTGAACAGTGCTGACTGGCATGTTCAAGGCTTTGGATATCTTTTTATTTCCTTTTTCCATCTTTATAAATTTCCATTACCTTGTTACACAGGTCTTTTGACAGTTCTTTTCTGCTCCCTATGGCTCAGTATCTAGATTGCTCAGTGCATTCACATGAGAGCCAACAAACTCATTGACTATTTATACACAGACACTAATTGCAATTTAAAAAGCCACAGATGTGGGAAATTAACCTTTAATTGGCATTTTAACCCGTGTGTGTCACCTTGTGTGTCTGTACCAAGGCCAAACATTCCAGGGGAGGGAAAGTTTTGATCTGGGCCATTTGGGTGATTTTGTTTGATTTATGATTATAATATTATGATTTAAAAAGGAGCCAAACAACTGTGTGACAATAGCTTCATATGATCAATATCCTTAAATAAAAGACAATTTTTTGGCATGATCAGTCATATTTTCAATATCAATGCCAAAATTTCAGGATTTCTGCCAGGGTATGCCAATTTTTGAGCACATCTGTAACATTTAGATATTTTGTGTATACAGGTGTATAAATCAGACCACAATGAGGGCCAAGAAAGGGAAAGGAGGACAGAGGGATTTAGTTAAACAGAAGGATAGTTCCTCCAAATGTGGGACAGTTGGGGCTTGTATTTATAAAGGATGTACAATATTCATATAAGGCACACAACATAACCTATGTGTTTTCCTTGTCCCTACCAGTTATCATTAGCCGGCAGCAGCGCCGGGTCCAACTCATGAAAATAAAACAGAGAGAGGAGCGTAAGGAGAAAAAGAAGAAGAAGAAGAGGCCTCACCACCATCATCCTCATCCTCAGCACAAAACACCCCACCCGCCTGAGCCCGCCTTCCGGAGGAAGCCCACCCCTATCCGCCGATTTGATGGCGATGTCATTTCCCCAGTAAGTGATCTGTTATGTTCTTGAGAAGAGGATATTAAGGGGGGATATGATCTCCATGTATAATACATAAGGGGGGATATGATCTCCATGTATAATACATAAGGGGGATATGATCTCCATGTATAATACATAAGGGGGGATATGATCTCCATGTATAATTCATAAGGGGGGGTATGATCTCCATGTATAATACATAAGGGGGGATATGATCACCATGTATAATACATAAGGGGGGATATGATCTCCATGTATAATACATAAGGGGGATATGATCTCCATGTATAATACATAAGGGGGGATATGATCTCCATGTATAATACATAAGGGGGGATATGATCACCATGTATAATACATAAGGGGGGATATGATCACCATGTATAATACATAAGGGGGGATATGATCTCCATGTATAATACATAAGGGGGGGGATATGATCTCCATGTATAATGCATAAGGTGGGATATGATCTCCATGTACAATACATAAGGGGGGATAGGATCTCCATGTATAATACATAAGGGGGATATGATCTCCATGTATAATACATAAGGGGGGATATGATCTCCATGTATAATGCATAAGGTGGGATATGATCTCCATATATAATACATAAGGGGGGGGGGTATATGATCTCCATGTATATGTATAATACATAAGGGGGGATATGATCTCCATGTATAATACATAAGGGGGGATATTATCTCCACGTATAATACATAAGGGGGGATATGATCTCCACGTATGATACATAAGGGGGGTATGATCTCCATGTATAATACATTAGGGGTATTATATATGATCTCCATGTATAATACATAATAGGGGGGGGATATGATCACCATGTATAATACATAAGGGGGGGATATGATCTCCATGTATAATACATAAGGGGGGATATGATCACCATGTATAATACATAAGGGGGGATATGATCACCATGTATAATACATAAGGGGGGGATATATGATATCCATGTATAATACATAAGGGGGGGATATGATCTCCATGTATCTCCTGGATTCTTTCCTAGATACACAGAATATAACTGGATATAACATTTATTGGTAAAGTTGATCCAGGGAAAATCAGATTGCCTCTCGGGGAATCGGGAAGGAATTTTTCCCCTGCAGGAGCAAATTGGATCATGCTTTGTTGGGTTTTTTTTTGCCTTCCTCTGGATCAACTGTGGGTGTAGGATTATAACTTTTTTTTTTTTTTTGGTTGAACTGGATGGACTTTTGTCTTTTTTCAGCCAGACTAAATATGTAACTATGTAACATGCCCTCATATTCCCTCTGTACTGAAATGTATTGTAATCGTACTGTCTCCCTTACATTGTAAAGCGCTGCGCAAACTGTTGGCGCTATATAAATCCTGTATTATTATGTATCTATTTGCTCCCCCTCTTGTGTTTATGGGATATAGAAACTTTACAGGAAGACTTGATTAAATAAAGGGGTGGGCAACTGCATGGCAAATGAGGTTTAATACAGATAACGTAAGATAATGCACTTGGTGACTAAGCCCCGGTTCATGCGACATGTCATGCGATTTGCGACTCACTTGACAAGTTGCATCCCATGTCTTTCAATGGCCCTGTTCTAATAACTGCAACCCAAGTTGCAGCAACTCCAAAAAAGGTTCCTGCACTTTGTTTGTGCTACTTCATTGTGACTTGCATTGAGATGTATCATTGAAGTGGCAGCAAGTGGCAAAGCAGTCGCACAGCATTATCATACTTACAATCTCGCGACTTTGGGGTCCCATTGGTGTGAACCGGGGCTAAAAATATGAATGTAAGTTACACACTAAGGGAAGAACCTCTCAGGATTGATCTGGGAGTAGCAATAGTATGCATTGACAGCAAGCAAAGTTAGAATACTGTTAGCATGCATTAAAAAGGGTCACAAGTCCTCAGAAAGGATCTGCTGGAACTGGAGAGAGTCCAGAGAAGAGCAACGCAGCAATAAGAGGTCTGGAGGACCTCAGTTAATAGAAGTGGCTGCAAACAGATAACTTCTACTCCCTGGCGAAGAAACACTTAAGAGGAGATATGGCTGCAATATTCAAATATCTAAATAGTGATTCTAGCATAGGGAGAAAACTATTCAGTCTCAGGGACTATAAGAAGACATGTGGCACTCAGTGAAGCTGGATGAGAAGCAGTTTAGCCCTAAGCTATGGAGGGGTTCTTTACTGCTAGAGTGGTAAGGAAAGGATGTGGAACTCCCTTTTACAATCGGTGGTGTCACTGGGGCGTACCAATAACTTAAGAAATTTTTTAGATGGGCATCTAAGCGAATGCAATATACAGGGATATGGAAAATGTTAGAGACATAAATGGTAGACATAAATGGTAGAGACATGGACTGATGTCTTTATTCAGCCTTACCATATATGTATCTATAGGAACATAGGATGATGGCAGAAGACGACCAGTCTGTCAAATCTGCTCATTTTTAAATAAGAAATAAAATAACTGTGTATACAGTGCACTAAATTCTGTTTTCCCGCCATCATGGGGATGAGTTCCAAGTTTCTCTAATGAAATCCCTTCAAAAGATGTAACTATGTCTATAGCAGACCATGCAACTGCTATGGGGCCTAGAAGCACGGGACGGACCCACAGTGATTTCAATAGGTAGCAATTACATCTGACAAATACATTTGGAATAAATGAATATATGTAATGTTTGGGAAGCTTTATACAACTGCAATGAAAATACAGTGCTTTGAAAAAGTATTCATATCCCCTGAAATTTTCCCCATTTTGTCATGTTACCACCAAAAACGTCAATGTATTTTATTGGGAATTTGTGAGATAGACCAACACAAAGTGGCACATCATTGTGAAGTGGAAGGAAAAGGATAAGTGGTTTTCAACATGTTTTACAAATAAATCTGTGAAAAGTGTGGCGGCATTTGTATTGAGGCCCCCTGAACTTTGTAGAACCACCTTTCGCTGCAATTACAGCTGCAAGTCTTTTTGGGGATGTCTCTAACAGCTTTGCACATCTAGAGATGGACATTTCTGCCCATTCTTCTTTGCAGAATCGCTCAAGCTCTGTCAGATTGGATGGAGAGCGTCTGTGAACAGCAATTTTCAATTCTTGCCAGAGATTCTCAAATGGATTTAGGTCTGGACTGTGACTGGGCCATTCTAACACATGATTATGCTTTGATCTAAACCATTCCATTGTAGCTCTGGTTGGATGTTTCGAGTCATTGTCCTGCTGGAAGGTGAACCTCCACCCCAGTCTCAAGTCTTTTGCAGACTCCAACAGGTTTTCTTCTAAGATTGCCCTGTATTTGGCTCCATCCATCTTCCCATCAACTCTGACCAGCTTCCCTCTCCCTGCTGAAGAAAAGCATCTCCACAACATGATGGTGTGTTCAGGGTGATGTGCAGTGTTAGTTTTCCACCACATACAGCGTTTTGCTTTTAGGCCAAAAAGTTCAATTTTGGTCTCACCTGACCAGAGCCCCTTCTTCCACATGTTTGCTGTGTCCCCCACATGGCTTCTCTCAAACTGCAAACGGGACTTCTTATGGTTTCTTTCAACAATGGCTTTCTTCTTGCCACTCTTCCATAAAGGGCAGATTTGTGGAGTGCACGGGTAATAGTTGTCCTGTGGACAGATTCTCCCACCTGAGCTGTGGATCTCTGCAGCTCCTCCAGAGTTCCCATTTGTCTGCTTCTCTGATTAATGCTCTCCTTGCCCAGCCTGTCAGTTTAGGTGAACGGCCATGTCTTGGTAGGTTTGCAGTTGTTGCCATATCTTTCCATTTTTGGATGATGGATTGAACAGTGCTCCGTGAGATGTTCAAAGCTTGGGATAATTTTTTATAACCTAACCCTGCTTTAAACTTTTCCACAATTTATCCCTGACCTGTCTGGGGTGTTCCTTGGCCTTCATGATGCTGTTTGTTCACTAATGTTGTCTAACAAACCTCTGAGGGCTTCACAGAACAGCTGTATTTATACTGAGATTACATGACACACAGGTGGACTCTATTTACTAATTAGGTGACTTCTGAAGGCAATCGGTTTCAATAGATTTTAGTAAGGAATATTAGAGTAAAGGGGCTGAATACAAATGCACACCACACGTTTCAGATATTTATTTCTAAAAAATTTTGAAAACCATTTATCATTTTCCTTCTACTTCACAATTATGTGCTACTTTGTGTTGGTCTATCACATAAAATCCCAATAAAAAGACATTTACGTTTTTGGTTGTAACATGACAAAATGTCCTCTAAAAAGTGATCCGCACTTGATTGCTTTCCAGAGGGTGGTGCAGCAGACAGGGATTTAGGAGGCAATCCTGCAGCCTCCTGACGTTTGTTTTTAGTTTTTTGCTATAACGCCGGCAGTGATCGAACAAAAGAAACCAAACAGGCTGGTTGTACTGAAACCAATCGATGGATTGACTTCAGTACAAACAACCTGCCCACAGATGCAATCGAATTTCGTCTGATCCCTACTGAACTGACCAAATTTCGAACCATCTTTGGGCAGATTAAAGAACATTTTTCCCACTGACCACCAATGTAAGAAGCATTCTTCCCACTGATCACCAATGTAAGAGACATTCTTCCCACTGATCACCAATGTAAGAGACATTCTTCCCACTGACCACCTATGTAAGAGACATTCTTCCCAATGACCACCAATGTAAGAGACATTCTTCCCACTGACCACCAATGTAAGAGACATTCTTCCCAATGACCACCAATGTAAGAACCATTCTTCCCATGACCACCAATGTAAGAGACATTCTTCCCAATGACCACCAATGTAAGAAGCATTCTTCCCAATGACCACCAATGTAAGAAGCATTCTTCCCACTGACCATCGTACTAATGTACCATGAGCTGTAGATATACCGTATATACTCGAGTATAAGCCGAGTTTTTCAGCACATTTTTTGTGCTGAAAAACGGCCCCCTCGGCTTATACTCGAGTCAACGTCTGCAGGGGGCTGCTGTCTCTTACCTGGCTCCGGTCCCACGATGATCCGGTCCAGGAAGCGCGGCTGCTCCTTCATTCGGTTCGTCCACTGGATGTTTGCGCGGCTGCTTGGCCGCCAGAACTGTAGCTCAGGAAAGGCACACAGGCGGCCAATCACCGGCGAGGAGGCGGAGCTGAGCGGCCCCCCGAAAATCGATGAAGGAGATGCAGGTAAGTGTGCCGTGCTTAGGTGCTGCTGCAACCACATATGCTGGCTGCAGCAGCACCATACTGGAACAGGGGTCAGCAAGTGTCAGTGGGAGGAATAGTGCCCCATCATTGGTGTCACTGATACCAATGATGGGGCATTATTCCTCCCACTGACACCAACGATGGGGCACTTTTCCTCCCCCCCACTGACACCAACGATTGGGCACTATTCCTCCCCCCCCACTGACGCCAATGATGGGGCACTATTCCACCCCCCACTGACACCAATCATGGAGCACTATTCCACCCCCCACTGACACCAATCATGGGATACTATTCCTCCCCCCCACTGACACCAACGATGGGGCACTTTTCCTCCCCCCCACTGACACCAACGATGGGGCACTATTCCTCCACCCCCCCCACTGACACCAATGATGGGATACTATTTTTTCCCACTGACACCAATGTTGGGACACTATTCCTCCCACTGACACCAATGATGGGACACTATTCCTCCCACTGACACCAAAGATGGGGGCACTATTCCACTGACACCAATAATGGGGTGCTATTCCCCCCACTGATACTAATGATGGGGCACTATTCCTGCCACTGATACCAATGATGGGGCACTATTCCTCCCACTGACACCAATGATGGGGCGCTATTCCTCCCACTGACACCAATGATGGGGCGCTATTCCTCCCACTGATACCAATGATGGGGCACTATTCCTCCCACTGATACCAATGATGGGGCACTATTCCTCCACTGACACCAATGATGGGGCACTATTCCTCCCACTGACACCAAAGATGGGGCACTATTCCACTGACACCAATAATGGGGTGCTATTCCCCCCACTGATACTAATGATGGGGCACTATTCCTGCCACTGATACCAATGATGGGGCACTATTCCTCCCACTGATACCAATGATGGGGCGCTATTCCTCCCACTGACACCAATGATGGGGCACTATTCCTCCCACTGACACCAATGATGGGGCACTATTCCTCCCACTGACACCAATGATGAGGCACGATTCTTCCCACTGATACCAATGATGGGGCACTATTCCTCCCACTGACACCAATGATGGGGCACTATTCCTCCCACTGATACCAATGATGGGGCACTATTCCTCCCACTAACACCAATGATGGGGCACTATTCCTCCCACTAACACCAATGATGGGGCACTATTCCTCCCACTGATACCAATGATGGGGCGCTATTCCTCCCACTGACACCAATGATGGGGCACTATTCCTCCCACTGACACCAATGGTGGGGCACTATTCCTCCCACTGACACCAATGATGGGGCACTATTCCTCCCACTGACACCAATGATGAGGCACGATTCTTCCCACTGATACCAATGATGGGGCACTATTCCTCCCACTGGTGTTCCCACCCTCGGCTTATACTCGAGTCAATAGTTTTTCCCAGTTTTTGTGGTAAAATTAGGTACCTCGGCTTATATTCGGGTCGGCTTATACTCGAGTATATACGGTAGTAATCATTAGTAGGGGTTCCCAGAGACCAGAAAGTTAAAGGAGCCAGTTATTCTTTATCTGCTTCCCCGCCAGCCATGTGCATATATGACAGCACAGCAGTGAGCTTCATCACCATGCTGCAATATACACTCACTAGCTCACTTTAATAGGTACACCTGTTCAATTGCCTGGTAACACAAATTGCTAATCAGCCAATCACAAGGCAGCAACTCAATGCATTTAGGCATCTAGACACGGTGAAGATGACTTGTTGAAGTTCAAACTGAGCATCAGAATGGGGAAGAAAGGGGATTTAAAGTGTTACTAAACCCTGGACCCTGCATTCATTATATCTGGTCTCCCACAGTACACAGAACATGGAAATGCAATTATTTTAGTAAATATAAACTGCTAAATACCTTTTCTCATCAGCTGTATATAGCAGTCTTGTGACTTCTATCAGTGTCCAGCAGAGCACTGGTTAAAGCTTGTAGGAGTTTTATTTCTGCTCCAGGAGGATGGAGAACCCCTGACCTTTGTTTCAACAATACTGATTGGCCTGTGCTGATCACATGCACTCTCCTAAGGAAAAAAAAAAAACCTCTCTAGCAATACACACCAAACTGATCATGTGCAGAGTGACTCTACATGATACATCTTATCGGGAGATAAGAGGGGGACACTGGAAGAAGGGGAGGATAAAAGAAGTCAGGATGAAATAGCATTTTTCAACAACGCAGAGGATTAACCTCTTAGGTTCCACAGTGAGTAGATCAAGCATGCTACACTGCATATACAGACTGATTTTACTGCTCTGGGTTTAGTAACACTTTAAGTGTCTTTGAACGTGGCAATGTTGTTGGTGCCAGACGGGCTGGTCTGAATATTTAAAAAACGCTGACTGATCTACTGGGATTTTCACACACAACCATCTCTAGGAGTTTACAGAGAATGGTCCGAAAGAGAGAAAATATCCAGTGAGTGGCAGTTGTGTGGATGAAAATGCCTTGTTGATGTCAGAGGTCAGAGGAGAATGGGCAGACTGGTTGCTGCGACATTCAGATGGTAGGGTCAGAATTTGGCATAAACAACATGAAAGCATGGGTCCATCCTGCCTTGTAACAATGGTCCAGGCTGGTGGTGGTGGTGGTGGTGGAATGGTGCGGGGAAGATTTTCTTGGCACTAGCAAGGTGTACCTAATAAAGTGGCCGGTGAGTGTATATATACAACACAGCCAGCCTCCTAGTCATGTAATGGCAAGAAATATGTTCTTCTCCTAGACCATGCTGGAACTGGCCCTGTTGTTAAAAGGGTGCTGCAACGACTTCTAACTGGTCACGGTGGCTCCCAGCGCTGCAAGTCACTGTCATCAACATCTCCCGGTCACTATTCTCAATCAAGAGTCAGTAGGATGGTCTCCCATTTATGTGATGACTGTGAAAGCCAATTACAGTGACCACATGACTGAGAAGCCCATGTAATGCCTTCAACAGTATGAACTTTTCAAGGGCCAGGTCCCATCAGCTGGGATGGATTAATATACATTAAAGAACATTCTTTTGATGAGCGAGTACTTAGCAGGGATTAACCTCCCTGGCGGTTTTCCTGAGTGTAGCTCGGGGTAAAGTTTCAGTACCACAAGTGGTAACCTCGAGCTACACTCCCTTATCTTACGGCGCTGCTCCGGGATCCCTTGATCTCTTACCTTGTCCTGCGCTCCCGCGATGTCCCTCCTGCAGTGTCCCCGCCAATGTAATCCAGCGGATGCCGGCATCTGTCTTCTGGGTTCCGTCCACTGTGACGTCGGGATGTACGGGGACGGAACCGGCGGGAAATTTGAAAATGACAAAAAGTGACATTCACTAAAATCACTAAAGTCACATAGTATAACATTCCTGTATCAAACCATTTCACATACATTTTGTCCTGAGTGCTTTGTCCTGCGCCCTGCCTGCATTTTTACTGTTCTTTCTGCCTGGAAACTGAGAAACGTCCATGGCGTCCAAAAAGCATCCCTTTAGGTCAAAATCGGTTTTAGACCGGCTGGAGAACAGCGATAGTAAATCAGAACCACTTGCAGAATTGAGTGATAATGATTCGTGGGGGAAATTCCTCATCAGACACTGAAAACGATTTTGCGACTTTGCTCAGTCATGTGCGAACTTGGCGCTATAGTTCAAATTTCAGTGTTTTTGGTTTGATTTAATTATTGAATTAAATTTATTATTATATTATTATTTTTTATGATTACTTTATTAAATTATAATTTATGATTTTGTGTTTCAAGTTTTATCATACCCGGGATGTTTACTAGACTCTTGTTCGGACAGATTTCAGTGAGTTATTCCTAAAAATTACAGGCCTACAATAAAAAAAATGACATATTTCCATGCAAAAAAATGTACCGCTTTAAGCACAGAAATACTGACATAATCAGACCGCTAGGGAGGTTAAAAACATATTTTATTATTTCTAACAAATCTCTCTCTTCCTCTGCAGAGCTACATTCAGAGTTTCCGAGACCAGCAGTCAGGTTCTTCTCGGGGCCGGATCACTGGAGCTCACACAGTGGTGGACCTGGACTATGACTGTGGATCTCGTGTGCCGCTGACTGCGGGAGCGGCATCGGCTGTCCGTGTATAGCACAGAATGAAGAAAGCGGGGAGGAAGGGCAGGAAGAAAAAAAATGGTGGTCAGTCTGACACTCAGGCATTGCGCTGTAGGAACTCCATCAGGGAGATCCATCACCCATCCCGACATTCCGACAACTGTGCCGGCACAAGGAGGAGCTTCAGGACACTCCATAAACTGCGCCCACTCTGCATTGACCCCCACCTACCTCTCTACAGTCACTCATCACATAGCCATTCCTACCTACCTCCCTGCACTGCTACTTCAAGATCTCTCCCTATGTGGGCCTTCTCCGAACCCCCCTGTCTTTGAGACTGAATCCACTGGATGACCCAGCCAGGCAGTACTCTTTTGTGCCTACACCCTCATCGACCTTCGTCTCCAAGCTTCTGCTTTCCTGAGCCTATTATAATGTCATCTGCTGGCCAAGTATAGCAACTCCGGGGCATGTTTTTATTTCAGTGTACAAAACAGACTCGTGTACGTCATGTATATTCAAGTTATAAGGAGACTCAGAACTAGAAGGATCTAACAGGAGAGACGAAAATCTTCATTTCAGGAAAAAAAAGCCACAAGACTGATTTGGTCGGGTGTATTTGACTTTTCTGGAGCTTTTCAATGGATGATTTTTAAATTATTGTTATGGGTGGGGAGGGTAGCAGAACGTGGCATGTTTCAGATGCGTGTTGCGGTGTGGTTGTTGACGTGGGGACATCACCCAAAAAAAGACGCAGACACAGTTTACCAGTCCCATGTAATTCATTCATTGACCTCATATAGGAAGTTTACTCATATTTTACGATATGCAGCACAAAATGGAGGTCTGCTTTGGAAATGGCTCGATGGCATATAAATGTGGGAATAAGTACATGCTGCAAGGAAAGGTGCATGTTGTGGTATATACTGCTTACGTTGGCCATACACTAATAGAATTTTGTATGAAATTTTTCATTTTAATATTTGTTCAATGTTAGTAGAGTCAATTTGACTTATGTTTTTGACGATAGGAGAAAATTTGGAGGACCAGGCTGGAAAATGTTCTCGAATGAACACATTTTTAACAGTATATGTGGTTTTCATTCAGTAAAGTCCATTCCAAATTGTATATTAACAGTGAACTAAATTTTGAGCTTTCAAAGGACGTTCACCAAGCCAACTACTGAGAATTTTCTTTTTAAATTCTACTAGTGTATAGCTCAGCTTTATTTATCAAATAACCGGAAGAGGAACTGGCTTTAACGCCTATGGATAACCATTGCAGTTCAGCATGGAAGAGAAAGAAATGAAAAAGCTGGCAGTGTGGAAGGTTGTTTTCAGACACTTTGATGAATGTGGGTCTAGTTAAGCAGCAGCCCAAAGATTATGCGATTTTCTTTCCTTCCACCAAGCGCCATTGTGTTCTGCCTGGTGGGAGCCTTCCCAGCTGACAGAACTCGATTACTATTAGTGGCTATAACCGCCGGCAGTAATCACATGTGAAAAATCAAACAGGCTGGTTATACCAAAGTCGATCGATGGACCCACTTGGGTACAATCAGCCTGCCCATTGATGGATCGATACTCATCCAGTCCCTACTGAATCGGCAGAGATTCGGTCCATCTATGGCCATCTTTGGGTACCATGCAAATATTAGCTTTTATTAGACAATGCAAATCTGTTGAATGCTGATGTCTGATCTATTTCTCTGAGACTAAAGCTGGCCACACATGTTACAATGAGATTGTACAGACTTTATTAGATTTATTATCAACACAAGACAGGGTGAGGGTCTAGCGCATTGATCTCCAAACTGCGGCCCTGGGGCTGGATGCAGCCCTTTGCTTTTTTTTATTCAGCCCTTGGGGCACTATTCCATCCAGTGACACCAAAAATAATTCCTCCCACTGACCTCCCAGGGATGGGGCATTATTCCTCTCAATGACACCAATGATGGGACACAAATCATTGCCAAAGGGGCATTATTTGTTCCCACTTACACCAGGCCATTTTCTACTCCCACTGACCACAATCCGGCCCCCCTTAAGTCTAAAGGACAGTAAACTGGCCTTTTGTTTGAAAAGTTTGGAGGCCGCTGACCTAGCAGATTGGATGTATATCAAGTGGATTGTTTGGATTGGTCTTCCCACTTAAAAGTTATTTATTTATTGGGCAGCACAGTGGCTAAATGGTTAGCACGTCCACCTGGCAGTACTAGGGTCGTTGGTTCGTAATCCCAACCACAGCATCACCTGCCTGGAGTTTTCATGTTCTCCCTGTGCCTGTGTGGGTTTCCTCCGAGTACTCTGGTTTCCTCCCACACTCCAAAGACATGCTGGTAGGTTAATTGGCTCCTGTCTAAATTGTCCCTAGTATGTGTATGTATGAATGTGAGTTAGGGACCTTAGATTGTACGCCCCTTGAGGGTTAGGGACTGATGTGAATGTACAATATATATGTAAAGTGCTGCGTACATTGACAGCGCTATATAAGTACCTGAAATAAATAAATACATTTATTTCAGGTACTTATATAGAGCCATCAATTTACACAGCTCTTTACATATATATTGTACATTCACATCAGTCCCTAACCCTCAAGGGGTGTACAATCTAAGGTTGTTATTAAATTTAAAACTGAACTCCAGGCATCAGATTTTCCATTTAAACATTTTCCCGATAGCCACAAAGAATGTAAATCCACTTTTATGTGCACCAAATGCCTTTGCAAACCCAGAAATTACCTTGTAAAAGCAGCAGTGACATCATCATAGTGCTGCGCATATCCTGTGCAGAGAGCAGAACTGTGGGAGGGGCTCTGCAGGCTCCACTCACTACAAGCTGCCTGTAGACAATTACAGGAGGGGGCGGAGACACAAGACCAGTCACCCTGCACAAGCAGAGAGGGCAGCAGGGGGCGGTCTTTATTACAGGAAGCTCCCGCACAGAGGGAACGTCTCACACTGGATCACTGAACAGATCTGGAAGAAATACACAAAGTACACCGAGATTCAAGAAGAAGAAACATGATGAATGGATTTAGACAATTTTTGCTTATCCCGGAGTTCAGATTAAAAGGCGATTGTTAATAAACTGTACAATCGTATATATTATAGAACCAAGCGCAGTTCATTTTGCAAAGCAGCCCCCAACTCCATTTATTGTTTCAGATATTTATTCAGTGCTGTCAATTTATGAAATATGTTATATACCGTACATTCACATAAATCCCTGCTGCCAGGGAATGTATAGTCTACTAGGTTTCATTTAAACAGCTGCCAATTACCTACCAGCATGTCTTTGGAGTGTGGGAGGGAACCCACAAAAGCCCAGGGAGAACATGCAAACTCCATGCAGAAAGCATTCTGATCAGGATTCAAACTGAGGGCTCCAAGGCAATAGTGCTCACTCCTAATCCAGTGTGCTGTCTTTTTTTTTTTTGCTACAGACAGCACCATATTTCTCCTATTGCAGAAGAATGTCCTTACTAATCCGTCATATTGTAACGTGTGTAGCCAGCTTAATAGAGATCTGAACCCAATTGCTGAAATCTTATATAAGTTGATGTCATTTCAAAAGCCATTGTCGTTAAATATTATCTGGTGATCCTGCTGTGAGGGTCTTCAGGCACTTCCTGTTAAGGAGTGACAACTGTCTGTTGATTGTGCTTCTGTGTTGTCACCCTGTCACAAGTGCCCCTTGTGGAGATTACAAGCAGCTGTGCCAACACACATTCCTCAGCAAGCCGGTCACGAGCAATGATGAGCTGCCGTCACTGGAGCAATTGCACTTAGAAAGTGACCAAAAGAGTCTGGAAGTGATTGGCAGCACTGAGATGCCAAACGGGAATTAAAAAAAAGGGTGAAAATACTGCAAAAATGCACCACAGCACATGAAAAACCGACAGGTCCCCTTTTTTCCAATGCACAGATGATTCCCTACAATGTGAAGCAAGTGCGTTGAATGTGTTTGCACCACAATGTACTACACAGCTGATCATGCGTTACTCTACGTTGCGCTATCACGCAGTAAATTGCAAATTTGCGTTACTGCAACGCACAGATGTGAAGCCAGTTTCAGGATTCAGATCTGTATACTATGCCCAGTGAGACAAATAAAATTATGCAAAAAATAGAAAAGAAAAAAAAACATGGATACCTCTTCAAAAATGCATATTTTGTACCTCGTAATTTTATATGGTCCCCAAACAGTTGTTACAGGGCTCTACCCCATATATCCATAGTAGTTGACATGTGGTACCTTCATCCAGATATGCACAAACCACAGACCTGCATATTGTCCTCATAACATGTACCCTACAGTATATGACAGGTAAGATATCAACAAGCTAGGACTTGTTTTATATACGAAGACTGTTTTCCTCTTCTTGGGATTTCATTAGAATCATTAGAATCCATCTTATTCAATTTAACGGTTCAAGAAGAAAATCCAGTACCCAGGGGCGGACTGACAACTCATGGGACCCCCCGGGCAATAGGGGATCATGGGGCCCATGTGCCCTTGCCCAAACTCCAAAAAGCCTATGAAAAAGGTACCAGGGGCATCTCATGGGGCCCCCTACCGACCCCGGGCCCTCGGGCAGTGCCTGAGTTTCCAAATGGTCAGTCCGCCCCTGCCAGTACCATTGGCAACCAATCCTGTATTGGTGTGAAGTAAACTCCAATTGGTCATTATAGGTTCCTGTCCTTGGCTTCTTGCACCTTTTATTGAATAGGCCTTATTTGATTCACATTTAGTGCAGCCATTTTGTAAATGGAAAACCATGAGGAACGTTGGACCATGGAATTTGAAAATAGAGTATGACAGCAATGACGTACTGGGCACAGTACAAGTGGTTGGTTACGGTCAACAGGACAATTGGGTACCATTGACTTTTATTTCAGTAGTCAGTACTAGGATAAGTATTGTTGTATTTGAAATTATATAAAGTGCCACAAAATACAACATAAACAAAAGTGCAGCTGATACCAATACCCCCCTGGGTAAAAAAAAGTCTTTATATGCAAACAACAGCG